AAGTGGTGCCTCGATGCGCACCCGGGATCCGAACCCGGGCCGCCAGCATCGCAGCGCGCGCACTTAACCACCAAGCCACAGGGCCGGCCCTAGATATATATTTAAAATGCATGAAAATTCTAAGACTCTCAGGATTCCTGATTTATCAAATATCACAAATCCAGAGGTTAGAAGAAAGAACTGAAATCAATCATTAAATATTTCCATTATTCTGAAGTTGTGAATTATAATGGTTGTGCCTTAACATTTATTTCAGTGTGCTTTAGTCATAGAGTGATTTTAAATATCATGGTTTTAAAATTCAATAACTATGATTCTTTACCATGATCAAGGTTGTATGAAAATAACCAGACACAGTATGCATAATTTGCTGTTATCTACAGTATACAGTATGCTGTTATAATTTGCTATCTATCATGGTTTGCTTACAATAGATTTCCTTGCAACCAAATACACTAAGTATAAACCAGCTAATCAATATTTCAAATGATTTTAGATTAGGTGACTTAGATCTGTTACCATCAAACGTATACTTAACAGTCGATCAACTATTAAAATTTATAAGTAATGTAAAAATCTGAAATAGCATGAATTACTCTTCCCAATTCTATTTCCTTGTATAACATAAAATGAAATAATTTTTTTTAAGTTTTAAATAATTTCTTTTGAGGTCTAAAAAGCATTAAAAGATCTAGTGATCTAATGAAATAAAACATGTTAAATGGTATATAATGTGACTATTCATGTGAAAAAAATAAGGCCACAATTCTTTAAGTAGCTGATTAAGACTGGAAAATTAACTTAAAATATGACCCTTACTATACCATGAACAGAAATGAGATCACTGGGAGAGGAAGCTGATGGGATGTAATACTCAGGTGATTCGGAGTTCCTTTTGGACCTGTTGAGTTTGAGATACTTGACAGGCTGCCATGTTACACAACCCCATTTCATTCTACATGAATGGTGCCACAAGGAGTTGTACAACATTGGCCTAACTTATGGGACATCTAGATGGAAATATCCAGCAGGCAGCTGGAATTAAGAGGCAGAAACTCAAGAAAAATGTCAGAGTTAGAACTGCAAATATGAGAGTCAACCAAAAGAAGAATTGGAGTCGTGGACACGGATGACATTTCTCATGAAGAGATGGCAGAGACGGAGGAGGGCCAAAGACAGAAACTTGAGGAAAGTCTTCCTTTAGGGGGCAGGGGGAGGAAAGGAGCAAGTTAAGGAGACCCAGCATGTATTCGGGACTTCAGCTTTACTTGTTTATATCAGGCCTGTACTACGGTACTATCCGTACTCCCTGTACTACACAGCTGACGTAAAAACCAATCCTTGTAACCCCTTGCGTTATTATAGTGTCAGTCCTAAAATGGTCTCCTTGACCTTTCTTACATTCCATTTCCTCTTCATTTCCTCACCCTCTACCCTCATGACTTGCCTTCCTATTTATGGTCTCACCTTACACCTTGGAAATAAAGTGCTTGACACTGCTTTTCCACCTTTAACTTTGTGCTTCTCTCATCTGTCTCAGTTTGAACTCTCCCTTTGACAACACTGTCTCCTGCTAACCTGAGGACAATCCCATCACAATACGTGGGACTGCATGTCTGAGTATAGGGCCTTGCAAGTGGCACCCCCACCAAGTTCCCCATAGCTCCATGAGTAGGACAGATAATCTAAAACAAAACCAGCATCATGCAACACCATCAACAGGAAAGAGTTTCAAGGAGGGTAGTCACTTGGAAGGGACTCCCTAGTGGCTACAAAATAAAAGTCCCAAATTCTTAGCCTGATCTCAAGAATTATACCACAATCAACCTTTCCAGACTTTGCTACTATTTCCCCACAAGACACTACACTTGAACTAGACTACTTGCTCTTTACTGGGTATGTTTCATGTGCAAAGGCCTCTACGCTTTGCTCATGCTAGCAGCAGAGACAGCTGGTCTATCAAGTTTAGGCATGTGAATGTGACCAAGCTTGGCACAAACTCAGCAATAAGTTAGAAACTTCAGAAATAAGAGGATCTTAGGTAACAATATGGGTCAGCTCCATAATATACATTAAGGTATTTTAAGTGATCAGAAAGGTCATTTTACTCAAGAAGGATTGGAAAAAATAGAATCAGGCTGGGACTGGATCTATCCATTGGGTCAATCAACTTCTCTGTGAAAAACAGGTGGTCAATGACTTGTATGGTATATGAATCACATTTCACTAAAGATGTTAGAAAAAAAAAAAAATAGGTGGTAGCTAGAGTATCCAGGTACAAATTTTCAAAGACTAATGATCCATTGAGAAATAGAAGTAGAGAATATTGTTTGGCTGCTGTCCCTCCACAACCAACTCTTTAAGAAAAGCAAGAGTTGGCCCACAGGCCTCTGAATTGATGCTCAGCTGTTCTCAGGATTAGGACTGGCAACAGTCAGATGCTCAGCTGCCCGCCAACCTTAGCAAGGGCGTCACTGACAACATCGAGGTCGTGCTGCAGCTCGTTCATGGCGCTGGTTATGCTCTTGGTGTCTTTCAAGATCTGAATACTCCGTGTATATGGATTATACTTCACTCCAAATGGACGCTTAATTGTTTTGGTAAATTCTCTATTTAAGAAAACAAATAAGAGGCAATCAATTTCTAGGCGGAAAATGATGAAAACTAAATAAACAACAGCAAACCTATTTCACACACTAGGCAAAAGACAAATCTTCCTTAGATGTTCGTGTAACCAATCTGCCCTACTTCCCTATACTGCATGTGCAGAGGGCCCCTGGAATCCCACACAGGTAGAAAATCTAAAGTAGATATGGATACATCTACCCCTGCGTTACTAGGGAACGATCCTGTAGATGGCTTTATTAATGATTTATTACTTTATACAGTAAGGAGACCAACCACAGTAACTTTGTCAGTAGACAGTGACAACATTTGACCACATAGTAACAGACCCCTCAGTTGTGATTTACATAACTACACCTACGTGCTCGCGTGTGCGCAAACGCGTGCACACACACACACACGCACACACACTGAAACAGGCCAGGAACAGTCCTGCCTCCTACACATGTACATTCTTTCTGTTTAGAATATTTTCCTCTAGACTTCTCTCAAATGACCTAAATTCCACCTTTTCTTCAAGCATTAAAGTTCTGCCTTCTTTATCAAGCCAACATTTGAACCTCTCATTTGCACCCCCAAAATAATTGTGTTCAGGACCCCTAAGGACACAGCTGAGGACAACTGTACAGGAGTAGGGCCTGAAATCCAGTTTGCAATCCACTTGGTCTTCCCAGAGGGGACCCCTCCTTCCAATTTGCACGAAGGAGCCATATGTGCTAGAGGAAGCCCTGCTGGTATTGTTATTTGGTTCTGTGCATGGCCTAATTCCTCAGCTAAGCGAAAGTCCCTAAAAGACAAGGAGTATGTCTTCAACCCCTGTCTATCTCCATCGTCACAATGTGGCCTCATGACCCCTCCACCAATTGTTTTGTTGATTCTGCTTCTACAGTCCTATCCTTTCCTACTACCTCTCTCTTTAACAAGTTCAGGCTTTTATTTTCACCTGAAGTATTGCAAGAACCTCCTCAGTAGTTTCTCTGCCTCCAACATCTTTCCTTAACAACACACTTAGCTGATTAATAGTTAAGCAGCTTTGAATGCCTTGCACACATCTCCTATATTTTTCTACCTCCTTACGTTTTTTATGCTGTCCTTTGGCCAAAAAGTTGACATATCTAAATCCTATCTAGCCGCCAAATCCTTTCTCAAATGCTATTAAGCTTTACCTGTTACCCCAGCTGGAATAAATTGCTCTTGAATAAAATGCAGAACAACGTGTCATTGTGTATAGTTCATTTTTCTTTTAGATTACAAACTCTCTGATGGTAAGAAACCAATTTCTTAATGTATCTGATTCATATTTGCAACTACCAAACATCATAATAAACCACATACTCTAAATATTTTTTGTGAAAGGGAGATGTGTTACAGGCAGAAGGCGCCTAGAGGCTTCTAAATATCCAGCTGCTTGCTTCTGTGATTTGTTACCATTATTGGACCTATCTTTTGCAGAGGACAATTAAGGCATGAGGAAGATATACTTTACCTCATCTTCTCCTTTGCATCTTCAAAGCTTTCAGATACAAAGTAGACATCCTGAAAAGTTGTGATGAGACACTCCTGTTTGCAGGTAATCTTGGGATCAAAGGGCTTTACTTTGGCATGTCCAGAAAGTGCATGCTGGAGGACAAAGAGTTTGTGAATCAAACACTATCTGTTTTCATAGACCACATTCTACACACAACTGCCAGAATCAGCACACCTCTGAATGTATTACTAATGCACTGGCCCCAATCTACAATTCCAAACTTATTTCCTACAGCTTTATTTAACCTACAATATACACCAGCAAAACAAACGGCTTGCTGTTCTCCATAAATGCCCCAAGATCACCTCCATTGTTCCAACACTCTTCTCCATGTGGGAGGCACCCAAGGATCCTTCTTTCTTTACTTCTGCATTATGGCACCTACTTTCTACCCTGCACGAGTTATTCTTATACACGACTTGTCTCCACCACAAGGCGATCAGCTCCCTGAGAGCAAGACAGTGCCTTGGACAGTATTGCAGGCTCATCCCCCACTCAGCAAACATAAGTTAATTCTTTTATTGGATAAATAGTAAATCTCAAAGAATTCCCTAGAAATTACAGAACTTACTGCTAGCACACCAAAAATGGTGAGGAAACAGCAAGACCTCATAAGTGAAAGCTTTAACATACTTTTTTATTTAAGATATATATATATATATCAAAAAATTTGGAAAATAGAGAAAAATGTCTCTTAAGTAATGTTTACTGCCACCCCAAGTATTTTCCGTAGTAAGCTCTTGTTCAAATCCAAAAACAATTTCAGGTCATATCAATTATATGAAGTGCAAAGATTTACAACTCTTACTTTGAGTTCGCTGATAGAAGAGAGTAATCCAGCACCAAAGACTCTTAGCTGCCCATCTTGTTTACACAGACCAAACTCCACAGTGAAAAAGTAGCACTGCAAAAGGACATCAACATTACTTTCACATCCTGAACGACTCAATTTAAAACAAATTACAACTCTTCATCCCTGACCCAAGTACCCTGGAATAACGTCCAAGACCCCCAGACTAACTCACAAGTATTTCCATAATTGGCCTTGTTCTAAACCAGCACTTCTCAAACTTTTGTTCCCAGGACTCTTACTCTTAAAAATTACTATGAGGACCCAGGGGCTGGCCTGGTCGGGTAGTGGTTAAGTTAGCGCACATTGCTTTGGCGGCCTGGGGGTTTGCAGGCACGGACCTACACACCACTCATATAAGCCATGCTGTGGCAGGCGTCCCACATATAAAATAGAAGAAGATGGGCAGAGATGTTAGCTCAGGGCCAATCTTTCTCAGCAAAAAGAGGAAGATTGGCAACAGATGTTAGCTCACCTCCTCCCCACACACACACACACCCACACACACAATATTACTGAGGACCCCAAGACCTTTTCTTTATCTGGGTAATAGCAAGCTATATTTATCATATCAAAAAATAAAACTGAGAAAAAATTTAAATGTTAACTAATTAATTTTAAAATATAATAAACCATTTTATGGTAACATAAGATTTTAATGAAAAGTAACTATAATGCACAAAACAAAAAAAAGATGAGAAAAGTAGCATTGTTTTACATTGTTACTTGTCTGGCTAGATATTATTTAATGTCTGGCTGGAAAATAGATGGATTCTCATATCTGCTTCTGTATTTAGCCTGTTGCAATATGTTGTTTTGGTTAAAGTATATGAAGAAAATTCAGCCTCACATAGATAAGTAGTTGGAAGAGGGTTGAATATTGTAATAGCCTTTTCAGACAATTGTGGATATTCTTCTTTGACACTGCATCAAAACTCAACCAGTGGTAATTTCTTAAAGTTCAGCTGCAATGTGAAATCTGAAACCATATCAATGAACTCCATTACCTTAATATCCACTTCGTACTTTGAATGGATCTTTTACTCAAGGACCCCAGGGGTCCCCAAACCACAGTTTGAGAAGCACTGTTCTAACCATCTAGCCTATTTCACACCACCTCCCCCACCCTCACACACTCTGCTCCAGCTTCTCGTCATTTCCCCAGACACACCAGGCACCTCCTTGTCTTTCCTTGTGTGCCCTCATGCTGAGATGCTCTTCCTTCGTTTCTCAGCACATGAGAACATTACTCATCTTCCCTGGGCCAGTCCAGATGTTCCTCTTCCCTGAAACCTTCCCCAGGCGTTCTCTGTGCTCCCAGAGCACTCTGCCTGAACTTCTCTCGACTTCCTCTCCTTCTAACACAACTGTCTCCTCAAGTAGTGTGTAGGTTCCTTGAAGGCAGGAACCAGGCCTTACTCATACTTCTATTTCCAGCATGATGTCTTGTACTTAATGCTCAAAAATATTTTTAGCATCATTTTTATGGAACCTCTGATTTTTATTGAAAAAAGAAGATATACAAACTACTAACATTATTGTACTCCAGTGTTTCTCTACCTTTTTTTAAAGCTCATGTCTCCTTTTGATAAACCTTAAAATTTCACATCTTCATTTAATGCTATTTAAATCATTTAAATTAAATATGAGCAAAGACAAATTTTCTAGTGGTCATCTTGAATATGTACTTTAAACGACCCAAATACTCACATCCCACCCCAGTTAAGAATCACTAATCTATGCAGCTATTTCCAGATTTATACCGTTGCCAGGTTTTGAACAGCCTCCTCTGAAGCTCCAAGGGAAGCCAGGCCAATTTCTTGGGAGAACTGAGCAAAACTAGGTTCAGCCAAAAGGGGGACATGACCTAAGAGTTCATGGCAGGTATCTCTGAAAAAGAGGTACAACTGTGTCACACTGTGATGCTTAACATAAATGCACAATCAACCATTCCATCACATCAAAATCTGATCTTACTTTTATTCAAATTGATTAGGTGGTATTACTTTGGAAATGAACCACCAAGGATGCTAATAAAATAAAGAAACTATTGTGGTTCAAAACCTTGGCCATTTCCAAACACACATACATAAGTGCATACAGATACCCATAGACAGCCACATGCCCCCCCCCCCAAAATCAGGGCTCTGCTCAAATGTCACCTTCTCAGCAAGTCTTTCCCTGATCACCCTTTCAAAATAGAAACACGCTCCCAAGCACACCTCTATCCTCTCTCCCTGCGTTATTTTGCTCCGTGGTACTTATCACCATCTAATGTAATACATATATTTACTGGTTTATTATCTATATTCCCCATTGGAATATAAGCTCTATGAAGGCAGAAGTTTTTGTCTGATTTTTTTCAGTTATATCCCCTATGCTTAGAACAGCATCTGGTACCTAACAGGCTGTCAGTTAGTAACAATAATGGAGAAAATACATTGAGCATGGAGCATGTGTTATGGGCCAGGCACCCTTCTAAATGCTTTACATGTGTTAATTCATTTAATCTTCACAAAAAACTCAGGAGGTAGGTACCATTACTACAAACAGCTATTTGACGAATGACAGCTGAAGGAGAAGTACTTACGGCTCTGGGGTGTAGAGGGGATCTGAACTATGCCTCACATACTGTGTGCAGTGAAAGACTCGAAAGGCTAAGCCTGATAAGAAATCTCTTGGTGATAAGTAACCAGCCACAGGACGGATAGAAAAACCTGTGCGCTCTGCAAAGCAAAGGAGAAGACAGAAAATCTTCACCAGAACTGACCGTTTACTGCAACACTTTAATTCTGCCAGTGGCACCAAGTAATACTTTGAGGGAGCACATGGAAACTAAAATTTACCATATGTGTACTACAGGGAAGTAATAGTTATTAAGCACTTACCATGGCCACGCAATGAGTTAGGCCTTACATATCACATCTCCTTTCATGTTCATAGTATGAGTTAAAGTTTATTTTCCTCATTGTGACAATTATAAAACTGAGGCTCAGAGACTCAATATTGTGCCCATGATAAAGGTAGAATGAAAACTCAGGTTTCCTTATATTACACCTTGCTGTCTCCCTAAACAGTTCAGAATATCCCCTAGACAATCTTACTGTCTTTTTAAAAAAACTCACTAACAAGATCTATTACTTTAGATCAGACCTATTCTTGAATGTATGCCATTTTTAGCCAGTACTACTTCTTGTAGTTTCTTTATTTTCTTTAAACTGGATGGCACTCTTCCATCCCCCAACAGCTAAGACTGCATGCCCACTGGAGACGGGGCAGGCCACCAGGCTGCAGTGGCTCAGAGCATCTCTATAAACTCCCATCTTGCCATTCTTTTCAAACCCTCACAGTCGGGCATTCCAGTTCCACCCAGTTGCTTTGTACTTGGATTCTCCCACTCTGATGGGCAGACTTCATGGTCCAATAGAACTTTCCACAATGTTGGGAATATTCTATATCTAGGCTACCCAATAGGATAGCCTCTAGCTACATGTGACTATTAAGCACTTGAAATGTGGCTAGTGCGGCTGGGCAACTAACATTTTGATTTACATTAATTTTAATTATTTAAACAACTACATGTCTAGTGGCCACCGTATTTGACAGTGCAGGTAGTCCCTTCCAACTGATGTTTTGTTTGAACTCTCTTTTAATTTTGGTTTCTCTCCTCGACACTTTCCCTTGAAACAACTTTAGAAATTTGTTCTGTAGCCAGTAAAAGCTCCAGGCCTCAAGTGAACAGCTTTCAGTTTTGTATCCATAACAAGTATTTCCTTTCCTGTCATCCTTAATCACTGTTTTGTTTTGTTTTTGGTAAGGAAGATTGGCCCTGAGCTAACATCTATTGCATATCTTCCTCTGTTTGCTTGAGGAAGATTGTCCCTGAGCTAACATCTGTGTCAATCTTCCTCTACTTTGTATGTGGGACGCCGCCACAGCATGGCTTGATGAGCGGTGTATAGGTCTGCACCTGGGATCCAAACCCACGAACCCCGGGCTGCCAAAGCGGAGCACACAAACTTAACCACTATGCCACTGGACCAGCCTCTGTTTTTTTAAAATCTAGTTTTTTGTAGGAACCACTTAGATGAGTTCTTCCTTTGTAAAAATTATATTGCCTTTTCCTGTTTAGTCTGTCTTAGTTTTGTGTATAGCGGTTGATTAATGAGAATTATGGAGTTGAATAGATATGCAGATTTTATAACAGTCTATGTGAGAAATTCAAAGATAGTAATTTCAGACCATGATAAAAATAAACTAAACTCTATTTGAGTCAAAAATGTAACTTCTTTTTTTCCCCTACGGTTCTAATCTGCTGAGATCAAAGGAGATATTTATTTTTCTTACATACTATAGACCCTGGAGATCACTGGTCATTTTCCTTCCTATACTAGCTAGAAAAAATAAGGAGGCCTGGATCAAATAAATATGAAGAACTTACAGGAGCACAATTGTCCTTCCCCTTTGTTTATGCCTCTGCTAGTACATCTCCTCCTTTGGGAAAATGATAGAATCTTGGTATGGAAAGGGCTGCAGAGATCACCTACTCCAACCTCCGCCAAGGTGCGTGACTCTCCTCTACCACACCCCTGACGAGTAGTGTGAAGCTTGTGCATGAACACCACCAGGGATGGGGAACCAGCCGTCTCATGAGCCTGTTCTATTTTCAAATGGCTCTTTTAGCAAGGTCTTCTCCATTTTGAGCCAAAAGTTTACAGTTTCTATTCAATAGTCCTTCAGTTTAGGGCCACATAGTAATCCTCTATTACGTAAAAATGATTTACAAATATTTAAATAAAGCTGTAATGTTCCCTAAATCTCCAGGTTAAACACCCTAAAAGTCTTTCAAATTTTATTTATATGATACATTTTCCAATCCCCTTATAATTCTGCTCACTTTCCTCTACACTTGCTCCAGGTTATGAATGTCCCTCTTCAAATGTGATGCCCAGTACTGGACCCAATACTCCAGGACAGAGTACAGGAAAATTCTGACCTCCCATATAACTGGACTTTATGCCTCTATTAAGAATTCTGTCATGATCAAACAGAGTTCAACATTCCCCTTCCAAAAAATTAGTTAGCTTATTACCTTTTAAAAAGTTTGAGACATCTTCCAATTGTGGGATATTATCTTCCCGGTATCCACAATGTTTAGAAAGCAAAGGTAAGTTTTTGAGATACTCTCTGCAGGCATGGGTTGGGTAAAGTTTGTTGAGCTCTCGGAACACCGTACCCCAGGTCTTAATCTCCTCTTCAGTGAATTCAACCTTAGGAATGAGGTCTCCACTAATGGGATAAAGGGAAGGAGTTATTTTGAATTAGCATTCAATAAACAGTAGCACTTGTTTTCTATTTACTAAATGAGCATTATCTACTCTATTCATTTTATTATTTCAAAGTTGGATAAGTTATTTTTACAATACACTTACTGTTTATAGTTCATAGCCAAGTCTGCAAAATACTTTCGTCTTTTACGATAGACATTGTCTTTGAAGCCCTGATAATTAAAGAAAAGTTTTTAAATGTTCATACGAAAAAATACTTGACAAATGATATATAGGAAGCATTTCATTATTACTCGAGCTATTATATTAAAGGGCTACATAATTGTTATTATGAGCAAGCACTGTTACAAATTTATGATCATTTTTATTTTAAAGTCAATAATACACTACAGCTTTATACTATAGTGGCTACAAAGATCAAAGGTATGGGCCGGCCCTGTGGCTTAGCGGTTAAGTGCGCACGCTCCGCTACTGGCTGCTCGGGTTCGGATCCCGGGCGCGCACCGACGCACTGCTTCTCCGGCCATGCTGAGGCCGTGTCCCACATACAGCAACTAGAAGGATGTGCAGCTATGACATACAACTATCTATTGGGGCTTTGGGGGAAAAATAAATAAATAAAAATTTAAAAAAAAACGATCAAAGGTATTATTGATACAAAGATACTATAGTGGCTACAAAAATAAAACAGTTTGAGGAATAAGAAAAACACCACCCTAGTTAAATACATGGCTCTTTTCCAAGGGTGAGATTTTTTTTCTTAATGGTTCAACTACATTTTTAGTTATATTTTCCTGTAATAGTAATTAATACTAAAATAGTAATTAATAATCCTTGAAATCATGACTCGACTGAATCTAGCCTTAGATTTTATTGCAAAATGCAAACATATTCATCATTTACAAAAGCAAATAATGATAAGAAAAAAATACACAAAATAGTAACATTAGAATTTATACCTATGAAAAATATTTAAGAAAAAAATAGACAAAATAAGGCATCAAAAAGCAAAGCCCAGGAGCAAATAGCCAATAATACAACTACTAGGAAAGAAGGGGAGGACACCTGAAAAGAGAGAATGAAACTCATCTCTAATACAGATGCATGAGCCCCTACTAGGCACCTGACCTATGACAAAAATTATATGGCCTTTGGTGGCTGGCTTCTTTCACTATCATAACATTTTCAAGGGGCGTCCATATTTTAGCATGTATCAGTATTTCATGCTTTTTTATGACCACTAATATCCCATTTTATGGACATATCACACTTTACTTATCCACTCATCAGTGGATGGACATTTGAGTTGTTTCCATTTTTTTGCTATTATAAATAATGATGCTATGAACATCTGTGTACAAGTTTCTGTGTGGATGTATGTTTTCAATTCTCTTAGATATTCACCTATGTACCATTGGTGATTTTTAGGCAGAAGAAAGATAACGATCCTATTGAGGTTTTAGATCATTCTAGTGACTATGAGGAGGATGGATTTGAGATGGCAAGACCAGTTAACAGATATGGTAGTAGGAATGAATAAGGAACAAATTTAAGCAATATTTAAGAGGTGAAAATCACCAGGACTTGGTAGCAGATCAGTAAAATTTATTTACTCACCTTTCCAAAAACATGCCCCAAGTTTTCTTGCCTCTGAATCTTTGCTTATATTGTAATGAACTGTCCTTCCTCTCCATCTCTTTCCTGCCAAAATCCTTTAAGTCCCAGTAAAAATGTTGCCTTTCTCTGATCTCTTCAGCTAGAAGTCTTTGCTCTCTTGTGTATATTTCAAAGCAATCTGTTCATGCCACTTAGCACACTTTTCACCTTTTATCTTGTGTGTGCTTATTTATATATGTGTGTTTTATCTTTTCAACTAGACTGTAAGCTCCCTGAGGGCAGGTACAGCAATTTATTAATTCCAATAGTGACTCAATAAGATGTTATAGAATAAATGGATGGATCAGCTGGTGGTTAAGGCAGTATATGATCACATTCACACAGCTAATAAGTGGAAGAAGCTAGATGATATCCCTGGTCTGTGCAATTCCACTATTGGCTCTCTTCTCTCCACCCCTCCCAGGATCCTAGAGCTCCATAAGCAATCCTAATGCCCTGGACTTACTAACTCTCCAACTCATGCCTGTACTGTATCCCATATAATTTTCCAAGGAAACAACTTCCTAGTTCATCAACTGCCTAATAAACCAATTATGCTGGGCAGTGTGAGTACTGTCTTTCTCCTTCCTATTTTTACTCCCCTTTCTAAAAACTCATGTCATTTTAATTCAAACTGACTACAGACACTGTCTTCATTTTAGGATAAGTCTTGGAATAGCTCTAAATAATGAGAATGCTAGGCATGGGACAGATGTTTTGGAGCCAATGAAGTTAGGTGCTCTTTAGGCAGTTAGTCTCAATTCCACCAACATGGAGGCCTACTAACACTTCCTGAAATCTGGATTAAAATAAGATCTTATTTAGTCTAGAATGAGCACTTTCTCCAAAAAAGAAAAAGTTGCCCTTATTTTTAGTTTGCTTTAAATTATTTTCATGAAAAAATTTATTAAAAATATTTACAGGATGGTCCGCATCTAGTTCAGATCCATACATCAGAACTCTGTTGGCACAATGGTCCAGGTCAGAAATCTTCTTTGGAAACCAAGGAACAGTTTCCATATCTGCAAAATACAAAACCACTAAAAGTCGAGGAGACAATCTTAAATAAGGCAATAAGGAAGAAGAAATTAAGAAAGCTATAAATGCATTTGGATGAGACTTTTAATTTTAGCTCGTACATTGAGGTAAAATTTATACAAGTAAACTGCTCTATTTCTAGTAAGTAAATTTTATTCAAAATTTTTGAGCTTTAAAATTTTTTGATTTACTATCAACCTGTTGTTGGAGAAATGCTCTACTTTAATAATAGACCAAAAGTTCAAAAAAAATTTTAAGCTACATATTTAGTTATCCTAAAAAAACAGAATAAATATGTACAACTTTACAGACTAAGTGAAAATTTAATAAGAACTTTCAATGTTAATTTTTGTTGATGAAAACGATCTTGGAGATCATTTATATCTTTGCCACTTTTATCTGTCACCATTCCCCAGACATACAAGGGCTCCTAAGACTCTGGGGTTTTGCATATGCTGTTCTTTTGTCTGGAATACCTATCCCACTCCCATTTCCCACACTATTCCATCCTTCTATTTTCCTGAGACTCTCCTCATCCTTCAAGATACAAATCAAATGAGCCTTCCCTGACCCTGTAACTGGAGCTAATTCTCTGTCCTCTGGGTTCCCATGACACTATATTTCTAACTCTTTCTAAAAGCTTTCACTATATTTTATTATAATGTATCTGTTTATCTATCTGTCTTACACAAAAGAATGGGAATGACTCTAGGGTAGAGAGTATATATTTTTGTATCTCCATTTCTTAGTAGAAATATCTGATACGAGTAGCTGTACCCTAAATATCAACTGAACCATTTAGCTTCTATAAAACTCTTCATTTTATAGATGAGGTAAGCAAAGTCCAGAGAGGTAAAGTAATTTCTCCAAGGTGACTCATTTCCAATGGATGAAAGAGGACTAGAACTCCATCCTTCTTGCCCCCGTTGAGTGCTCTTTCTAACATATCCAGAAGTGACATTCAAGAGATTTAACGAATACAACAGGGGCACCAGTCACTCAAAATAGACACAAGCAGAAAGTCCTAGGCTCCTGCTCTGCCAGGTGTTAACCCTTTAGTTGTTTGTGGTGGGCACGGGACTCCTAGGGGAGGATCAGGAGCACAGGGGTTTCACACAAGGTGGGGAGCACTCACAGGACCCAGGGAAGCAGCTATCTGCCAGCCAGAAATGGAAGTATATCAACATTGTAATAGCTTATAAGGCCAGATGAATACACAGCAGATGAATATCAGCTTGGATTACACCCCAAATATTGTGACCTAATCTGAAGGGATTATTTTAAATTGAGTACCATATATGAAACCTGGCTGAATTACCCATTTGTCTTTGCTCCAAGTAAACTACCAGAGTTTTTTTTTCACAATAGAAGATCTCAGCCTATATCTTTGTGATCTGAGTGTCTGAAACCTCAGAAAGCTTTATTGCTTTTCCAATTGCTTTTGTTGGGAGTGGGGACAGAGAGGAATGTTGTACAGAGTGTATTTCATATCACAGTTGTCAGCAGCTGCCAACATTCTCAACAAATTCAAATAGTCACCGACTATCTGCTAATGCTAAGCCCTGTGAGAGGTTCTAAGTGCTCAGGGACTGTGAATTAGAGGTTTGTTAAACAAGAAATGCTTGATATTTGGAAATGGAGATAACTGATTTCTAACTCTGCTGAATTCTTTCCTATACTGAAAGTTTCCTTTCACTTCTCTCACACGTGATAAAATGCTGCTTTATAATTTTTCTTTAGCATTTTGAGCAATTATATTTTGTATTCCTGTCACTACCAGACTGTAGACAATTTGAGGAGACAGTATTTTATTTTTACTTTCATGCCTTCAAGATAAATATAAGATTAGACACAGATTATGAGCTTAATCTTCTGAGTAGTATTTTCACTTTTCGAACTTACCATCTTCCTTCACAGTGAAATTATCTAGTGGATTCACAGAGAGAACATTAGTATGAGACTTCAACAGATGAAAAATATCATTCAGCTGTTCTCTGTTGATATCGCAGTCAATAAAAATCTCAAATTCTGAGCTTCTCCTCTTTGATTTTCGGGACTCGATATGTAACAGGTTCACATGCTTCTCCTGTGTAAAGCAGGTCAAGATTATATGTGATGGCCTCAGGTGGTAATAGTCTCCGAGAAGCTTGCTTTCATTACCATTAAAAGTCAACTTCACACTTGTCATAACAGCCAAAGGGGAAAAAGGCTGTTTTTAGTGCTGTCAACAGTAAAATAATTCTCCCTAAATATTAGGTACGTTTGGGAGAACTTTTGGGAGACTTATTAGGTCAACAGCAAAATAATTCTCCCTAAGTATTAGGTACGATTCAAAAAAGTTTGAAAAACTCATCACACCCTCCAGAAACTGATAAAATCACACCCACTAGAAGTCCCTCAGATTGCCAGAATTGATTGGTATTCAAATCAAAATACCAAGTCTCCTAGATAAAAAGAACCTTTTGAAAATTATCACAAATACAAGCCAGTTTTCAAAAAGTGATATTAATGTTAGTCCTTTAGAAAGAAAAGTTTCCTTTGCAAAAACCCATTTAGTAAAATTAGATGAACAGCTTGAACCCAGAGTATTTAATACCTCAAATCTCTTAAGCTACTAACTTAGCAACCAGCTGAACCAGATTGCTGCTTCTCATCTCTTCCCACGCAGCCTGAGCTGTGGGTGACATGTGTGCAAACCTGCGGTAGGAGGGTATCTTCTCTTACCAATTTGGGCAGCTGAGGAAAAACACGGGTGACATAATAATGAAACATAAGAACCAATCACTCAATGGTTAACCTAAAAAATGATAAGGTTAGAGTAGACGATTTCCAATATTGCCCAGTTCAATCTAAATTAACTTAGCAAGCACCTCTGTAGCCAGGTAAGAGCTGTGAAGCATACAAAAAAGGGTAAGACACACAAGGAGTTTACAACCTAGTTGGCTAACATGGGAAAGACTAAGAGAAAACACGAGTAGTGAGTGTTCAGGTGCAGAAGATGTTCAGTGAAGGGAAAAAGCATCATGGGTTAGAGAAAGTAGAAAGTTCTATGGAGCAGATAGGAAGTGAAATGAGTCTTAAAGAACAGATAGAATGGGAAGACAGAAGGGCAGGAGGAGGATTCCAAAGAGGAGGAACTGTACGAGCAAAGGTAGGGATGAGATAAGGATTATCAGGGAACATGAACCAATAAGAAAGGAGAGTGAGTGTCAGGGATGTTGGGGAATTGGAATAGGCAAGGTTTATCCTGGAATACAGACTTTATCATGGAACCAAGAGGAAAGCCAGTTACAAAATATACTGGAATTGATCAGGAGTAAAGGAGAGTTTCATTTAGTCTATTTCTTATGAATTTTTACAATAATGCATTCATAAATATTTTCTGATTGATGACTTGAATTATAAAGTTAAATTATGCTTTTGGAGAAAAAGCTGCAAAATGTCAATTCTTCCTAAATTAATCTATAAGACAAATGCCATCAAAATCAAAATCTTGATGGAATTTGGTGAGGAAATGTAACTAAATAATTTAAAAGTCCATTTGGAAGAAAAATTTAGTTAAGAAGATCCAGGAAAGTTCAGATAAAATAAGAGTAATAAGTGAGATTCCCTATCAGATATTTCAATTACATAGGCAGAGGCAGAGAGAGGTTAAGCAGTTTTCCCAAAGGCATGCAGCCAATAAGTGTCAGAGCTGGAACTCAAACCCAGGCTGTCCAGCTGCATAGTCTATGCTTTTAAACTCTATGTTGTAATCCTGCTGTACAAGAAAGGAAGAGGCAGAATAATGAATAATATGGCTGTTCTTTGAACAAGATTCACATAATCTTAATAATAAAAACACTAAAAACTGACATAGCCAAAAATTGAGACATAACTACATTGGGAAGGTGAGGGGAAGGGAAGTTGAGGGGGCCACTGGAAAGGGAGTTGTGTCAATAAAGCTAAATCCTTACTTCCATTGTAGGAAATCAATAGGAAATATCTACAACTGAAAAAACTAAGAAATAGCAGCATAATAAGCATATTGTTTATAAATATGGAAGTAAATACTAGAAAATATAGTTAAAAGAGTTGAAAATAGGGGCTGGCCCACTATTTTATAGTGGTTAAGTTCACGCGCTCTGCTTCGGTGGCCCAGGGTTTGCGAGTTCGGATCCCGGGCACGAACCTACATACTGCTCATCAAGCCATGCTGTGATGACATCCCACATACAAAAAATAGAGGAAGATTGGCCCTGAGCTAACATCTGTTGCCAATCTTTCTCACCAAAAAAAAAGAGTTGAAAATGGTTGCCTCCTATAGGCTAAGGATAAGTAAAATGAGTGGATGCATCCCGGAACACTACACACAGTTAGAAGAACGAATGAGATGGACACACAGCAGCATGGGCAGGTCTTCCAAACACAACAAGTGTATCATACAATAAAATTTATATAAATTACCAATACTGCACACATAAAAAATCTACACATCCCAAAGTACACATAAAAATAAGTCAAGGTACAGATTAAACATATCAAAGCAGTTGTCTATCAGAAGAGAGAAATAGAGATCGAGTGGAACAAGGATTTAAAGCAGGAGGAGGCTGTATAAATCAATGACAGTCACACGTGATCTAGTGAGTATGATTAACTCAACCCTCTGTACTCAAGTTTAACCAAAAAATTAAATGGAACTCAGGAAAGAAGAGAGATGAAGCAGAATACTGCTGTTTTCTTTACAAGCTTTATTGTGTGGGTTGACTTTTTAAACCATGCACAAGTGTTCTTTGATTAGAAATAAAATAAAAAATAAACTTGATGGAAGAAGAAATAAAGGTATATTATTTAAAGACTCAAAGGTAATCAATAGAATAGCTTAAAATAATCATGTAATTATCAAATTTTAGGAGGAGTAGGAGGGAGAAGTGAGGAAGGTGGTATCAGGATCATTCACAATAGAGAGTAAATGAATATTGTGTAAAGTTGATAAAGAGAGCTGTAAGAGCAATATTTACATTTTATAAACTCACTACCAGAAGAACTAAAGAACAGAAAGAGTTAAAAGAGGTTGCCCCCAGGGAGGGGGACTGAGGATGCGGTGTGTTGGGTAGGAAAACTGATGCTTTTCTAACTCTTTTAGACTATTTGTCCATATTTTAAAATCATAATTCTTTGAAATATTTTCAAATGGTTATATAATATTATATCATACGGATATAAACTTGATTTTTAAAATAGCTAACCGTGTATTGATAATGCACTTACCTATATTAACTCTATTAATTCTCACAATGACCCTATGAGGTAGGCAGAGTTCTTGTTTTATAGACGTAAAGACTGAAGCACAGGGAGACTAGCTAATTTGCCCGTGGTCACTCAGCCAATAAGGGACAGAGCAAGGATCTGAACTCAGGTGGTCTGCCTCCAGAGCCTAAAAGCTTAACCCCAGTGATGTTCTAGTAGCATAATTTAACCTGTCCCCTACCTTAGGACAAGCAGTTTGCTTATAATTTTTAGTTCCTATAAATAAATCTTTGTGTCCCTAAGCCCTTAAACTAGGTTAGGTCTCCCAGTTCAACACTAGCATAGCGCCTGGTACTTCTCTTTTAGGTCACTTTACACACATGTAATTATGTATTTCCTATGATATTTGTTTAGTGTCTGTCTCCCCCTCTGGGTTATATACATTGTGAGGGCGGGCACCGTGTCTGCTTGGTTCAGGTCCACATCCTTAGGACCTAGCAGGGTACCTGGCACACAGAAGTACTCAATAAATGTTGATGTTCTGTCTGACTGACCCCTATTTCCTTAAGATAGATTTATGGAAGTGGAATTACTGGGTCAAAAAATGTGAACATTATAAGGCTCATAATACATATTACCAGATTGTTTCCCTACACATTACACCAATTTACCCTCACACCAAAGGTATATTTAAATGCCAAATGCATTGAAGCTTTGACAGTAGGGAACAGTATAATTGTAGACTCTTTGCTATTTTGCTATATAAAAAATATCATTAAATGTGTTAATATATCATTAAAATTTTAATATTTTATTTAATTAAAATTTCCTTCTCCAAAATCTATGAAGTGAATCTTTCCTCCCCCATTTCTTTCTTAGCTATTTGTATCTCCTCTTCTGTAAATTGTTTGTATCTTTTGCCCATTTGTTAGAATTGAGCAATATTTTAGAAATTGAAGTGATTAAGAAATTTCTATAGTCCATCTCTGAAGAATTTACAACCATTTCTATTTTAAATATAATTTCAGAGACTCATTTTAGAATAGTTTTATGCAGCAATATGGAGAGTGCTTACCTGGAAGATTTTCAGGGCTTTTATAAGGCCTCCAACTTCATTCTTTAAGGAAAAAATGAGGGTTGCTCTTCCCCTTTCTAAAGAATGGTCTTTGTTCTCCTTATTGTCTTCAATCATGATGAAGTTGGTATACTTCTCTAAAAATAAAATATGAAAATATAGAGAAAGGTCTAAAAAAGAAGTCGTGCAATGTAGACAATACTTGATAACATAGACAATATTTGATAATATTTGAAACTAAAACAATATTTGATAACATTAACCAAGTTTTAGTTTCCTCACCTGTAAAACATGGATATGCAGATACACTGGCAAGACTGTGATGAGACCAAAGTAAGATAAAACATTGCCTAGCATAGTGCCCGGAATGTAACAGGCATACAATACGTGCGAGCACCTACTTTTTCTTTTTTTCTAATCCAGTCCTTTCAGGGCACGACTCAAGCCCACGGGCTTCTTGCAGGCATCCTGACGACTGTGGCCGGACTTGCGCGTTCTTCCTCTATGGAAGCCCACCTCCTCCTCTCCCCCGACAATTTTAGCACTGTGTTATACTGGGTCTTGAATGGCTTCCCCAAGTGTTTTATTCATACGTGTCTTCTAACAAGGCAGCAACCTCCTTCAGAACAGGGACAAGCCCTTCTACAGTATTTCTTTTATAAATTCAAGATCCTGGACAGCTCTGGACACATGTGGACTAGAAGAATAACTACACCGAGAGAGTTCTGGTTCCATATAAGTATCCCCTTTCCTCTCTGACTGTGGAACCCCCTAGGTCATGGGCCCTGAAGCCTTTTCAATATTGGCCTGCAAGGGCTATATGATTATAAATCCAACTCTGTGTGTGTGTGCGCGTGTGTGTTTTGGGGGAGGTGAGGATTTGTGGGGGATAGAAGTAGGGTACAATAACTTCGTATTGGTGACCTTCAGTTGAGAAATACACACTTGAGAAATAAGATTTGGATTAATAAATGGAAACAGAACATTGAGGATTTATTCTTATTAGTTTTCTTTTGGTTATTAATTCTTCCTAATCGCCCAGTTTCATGTCGTGGTTCTAGCAGAATTAACCTTTAACAACTTAAATTGAGGTAAGTGATTCCACTGTCTTTCACCTGCTCTCACTCATCGATCCAAGCCTGCAGCACGACCACTCAGAGCAGGTATGATGTGGGCTTGAAGCCAGACAGACCACGTTCCAATCCCTCACAGCTCAATCTTCACTTCTCGTGGAAGCTTCCCTGACCTCCCCATGTCAACTCCCCTTCGTGCTGGTCATCATGGCACCATATGCCTCCCAGTCTTAACAACAGGTGTAGTTGCAGCTCTGTCTGGGTGAGTATTTGATGATGTCTGTCTCGCCAACTAGACAGTGAGGTCCATGGGGGCAGGGATCACATGTGCTTTTACTCACCATTGTATGTCCACCCAGCACAGTCTCAGCACATTAGGCCCTGGATAGATGTCATCAAATGAATAAATGAGTGAAAGATTGATTAAAGACATGGTCCCCACACTCAGGGAACTGGAAGTCTGGTGAGCGAGTGACAATGCAGATGGATAAGCACTCTAACAGGGAACACCAGATGGCATAGTGATGGCAGTGACTAGATTGATTATTCTGGTACATGTTCAGAGATGCTTCATTGAAGAAGATGTGTTTGAACTGGATCTTAAAGAAAAAGGGGGGAAGGAGTAGATGAGGAAGTGAAAGACAAAAGATGAGCAGGGGACCACCCACTACAGAGCAGTGGGAGATCATGTAGGCAAGGAAAGTGGGGCCAGATCCTTCAAAAGGCTCTGTGCAGGTAATACAGGGAGTTTGGACTTGATCTTCTATGCCCATCCAAATACCTATCTAAGACCCATGGCCAGGCTGATCAAAGGCTAAATGAGAAAAGTAAGGACAAGGTAGTTTTCCATTTAGCTGAAGTCCCGGCTTTGAAATGCTTTTCTATAGGATGATGCAAAATGAGGGGCTTCATGCATTTCTGTCTTTCTGACCAGAGAGCTTTTGTGAGTTTTCTCTTTCCTCCATAAAGTCTTTTTCTTAACCCATACTATGTAACATTTTGGGACCCCGTATAAGAGGCAGGCCCAAGAGACCTATCTGTCTTAATAGAGAGTATAAAGTACCAAATATGGCTTAGTCATTTTCAGCTGTATGGTCTTAAACATATGGCTTACTAAATTTGCCAATGGAATACAATTCTCAGTTTCAGAATTCAGTCTTTCTGACACTTTTGGAATTTAGTTTAACAAATATTTATCAGGCATGTGCTAAGTTGAAGGACTGCTACATACAAGTTCAGAGACTTTGGAGATAAGAAAAAAAAGAAATTACCCATTTTATGATGGCAAGATTCCCTCCATTCTTAGCAACCCAAGAGGTGGGTAAAGGAACTGACATTTGTCAAATGTCTATAAATATAATGCACTAAAATTATCTCATATAATTATCAGAAAATCTTGGTGGGAGGGGATAGGAATTATATCCATTTTATAAATGAGAAAAATGAAGCTTAGAGAAACTAACTAACCTGTCCATGGTCACACAGCTAGAAAATGTGAGAACACATATTTAAAACTATGTCCTCGAAAATGCGAATGTTAACACATGGATATGATTTCACTGGGGTTACCCTAAAAATATTCAGAAACACAGACGGTATAACAAAATTCCTGGCATCTAGTTGAAAGCTGCCTTCTCAGAAGACTAACTAGATATCTACTTTGGCTTCTTCTCAACCACCTATTTATGCTGCAAAACAGTGTAAGGAAATATCTGGAACGTGAAGTCAGACATATCTAATCACTGGTCTGACGTTTATCAGTATATGACATTGGGCATGCTACTTAACCTTTCTAATATAGCAAAGTTCCCAAACAGTTAACCAGAACTTATAACATCAAAACTCTTTTACACATTTTAAAACACATCATGTGACTTGGTATTTAAATGTTCTCCCCACAGAAGAAACTAGGCTATTTCAGCTACCAAGAAAAGAAGGAGACATACAATTCAAAATTTAACAAATATTGAAATATTTATTACTCAAATGAATTATTGATTCATTGAGTTTAAAATCAAAACTGCTTAGATATTTTTAATTGTGTCAATTTATTCTCTACAACTAAAACAATCTCTATGTGAAATGCTTTAAAACCAAACGATCAGTTAAACTTATTAACAGTGTGGATTTTTCTGTGATTCAAATGATTACTAATGGTAAAATAAGTGAAATTTCAACCCAAGTGCATTCACGTGTATAAAATACCATAGTCAGTGTTAGGACAGTAAAGATTAAAGAACAAAGAAGATAATTTGCCTCCAAGGAACTCACACACATATGTATGGCGGGGGGTGGGAGAGACAGACTTTCCAATAATTACAAATAAGTAGAAGAGAATGGGACCCTGAGATCCCAGCTATGATATCTGAGGGGCACACCCAAGCCCCCTACTTCCCCACCCCGTGACCAATATCCCATGAGATTCTAAAGATGATTGGAGATGGCTTCTGGCCTGTCCATAAGTCTCTGATCAGAAAGGATTATGGGCAAGAAGCAAGAGATTCTAAGAGAGAGCTTCAGCTTCAAAGGAATTGACCATTTCTTAAGGTAAACTCAGTATACACAGGAAATTCTGAATTGGTGGCTCTGGGGCTAAAAATTCAGGAATGGTCTCAAATACGCATTCTCAAAATGCTTTTATAAATGTGAAAACTTTTGGAAACATTTCTCATCTGTCTAACTCTCACTCGAAGACCATGGACTTTTTTTTCATGCAGAGCATGGGTAACTTTGTCCTATACTATGCAGATGAAACAATAAGAGAGATGTAAAATAATATAGCATTTTGCTGATAATAAATCCATCTACAAATCCATCTAGGCAAGCTATAATTTCTGTGTGCATCAATTTCCTTATTTGCAAAATTAGAGGGAAGATAATTGGCACCAATCTCATGGTTATAAGGAGGATTAAATATATATAATATATATGAAATCCTTAGAACAGTTGCCGACCTACACTAAGTACTCAACAAATATTAGCTCTAATAATGGGAAGTGCATATCAAATCTCCTAGTCTTCAAAACAAGAGGAAATGTTAAATGTAATGAAATTGACATTCTAAATTCCCCTGGCTAAGAGTGTTTCTTGCCCTGCGAATTAAACATTTTATAAGATAGTTATAAACCTATATCTTATAGTAGCAAACACATGGAATTGCTGTTTTATGACATAAAATGTAAGTATTCTTTTGTCTGAAGGTGATTTTTCAGTTTCATTAGTTTATTTATTATGAAACCCCTAAAGTGTAAGTTCCAAATCCCAAGTGAATAATTTAGCAATTCTTTTGCAAACAAACAGATGAAGACCCCAAAGTACAATTTACTGAGTCAGCCTATACTTATTGAGGGCTCATTTCCCCTGATATTGTCACCATGACATGCTGAAGGAAGAGGATTCTGCAAATATAAGCTATTTCCTGGCCCACCACTATCTCCATAATGTAAGCAAACTTTACAACTGGGAGCAAGGATCAGAGAACAGTAAAGAAAAGCGATTTTTGCCAGTCAGTGGTGACACCGACAGAGTTTCAGATCTCCTGACAGTTTATCTTTCAACTCTTCATATAAAACTATATAAAGATTTCCTTTCACATTTCAAAACTGGCCCTTAAGCTCCCCTGACAGGAGCCATTGTAAGTCGCTACTAACAGTCATGGCTGGTCTAACTCCATCCCTTTGGGGTTCATAATTCTCTCTTCTTTCCCTGGTTCTGGAATGGATCTAGTTTTGCCACCATCATCTCCCTAGTGGGTGGAGGCAGAGGAGGGTGAAGGATACATTAATTGAATATTTATGATGTGAAAGGCATTTTATATTGAGATTTGGAAACATTCCTATCCCTCTTGTTAAAGTCAATATAAGAATGAGGTTTCTCAAAAAGAACTTTTGCTAAGAAATTAGAAGAAAAGAATTCTCACCTCCTCCCGCTTGCCACTTCCCCCCCCCCAAATAAGCTTACAGAGCATAGGACTTTGATCTTTACTAAAATTTGCCCATAACTTTGCCGAGTTGACAGAGCTTATGAGGCATCAGTTCTTTTTCCTTTATTCAACTAACCCAAACGCCTTTCAGAACCTCAACATTTTCCCTTGTCACTTTTTTTCCTTTCCCCCTTCAAC